TTCAGAGCAAAGAGATGACATACTCTTTCCAAATACCTCTCCATCACTTCAGAGAAAAGCTCTACTTTTGACCACAGTCTCTTTCTCTAGAATAAATGGTCCCTATTCTTGTTGGCACAAGCCACATGAGAAAAAGTCAAAACTTCTAACTTTATAAAAATGCAAAGTAGAGAACGCTGGCAGAGTAACAAGTCAGGAAAGAAATTACTTTTAGAGGAGAAAGGGAAACCAGGGCTGCCCTTTCAAAAGCGTCCCCATGATTTACTAAGGTTTTCCCATTTTCTCCCTAAAATACTATTGTATTGCACCGATAAATGTGCACTTTCCAGTGTGATTCAGGATGCAATATATATGATCCTGTGTGGACACAATACTACAACCATGTTTACCAAAAGGGGCAAAATTAATCTTTTAAAAGCTAGGCAATTTCTAAGACTGAAAGATCATCCTGGTAATGGTGTAAAGATTAAATACCACAGCTCTTTCACTTTAAAAAGTTTACAAAGAAAGAATTGGTCCTTAATATTTAGAATCGTTATCAACAAACTACCGCCCCGAGCTGGCCAGTTTATTGCAGAAGACATAATCCATCCATTTATGTATCGTCTATAGCAGGTTTCATGCTACAGAGTGGTTGCATGAGATTATATGGTCTAAAATATTTATCTACCCTTTACAGATTTACAGATACCCTTTACTAAAATATTTAGTATCTACCCTTTACCCTTGCCAACACTCAACTCAGAAAAAACCTCCCAAAATGAAACGCCACACATCTTAAGTTCCATGAAACTTCTATGCCTCTATTTGGGCATGAGACATGGTCTCTATTCTCCTTACTTCTCAACACATAGGTTTTATCTATTCTGCAAAATGACTAACTCTACAACTCATTTCACCAAAAGAGTAAAAATTGCTTAACAATGTCAGGACATTACATCCAGATTTAAGGGGAAAAAACTCCAAATAAATTTTTCACCTCTGGGCATTAAGGAGTGCATTGTTGTGAGGAGCACTGAGTAATGTACAGAATTGTTGAATCACTATATTGTACACCTTAAACTAATGTAACACTGTATGTTAACCATGTTCTAATTAAAATTAAAAATTTTCACCTAACCAAATGAACTTGTAAAGCAACATCTACTTGTTAACAGTATTCAGACTGAAGGGAAATTTCACTGAGTTAATCAATTGCTAGTTTGCCCTTTTCTCAGTCGTTAAAGAAAGCCATGTTAAAATGGAATTAAGGCTATGACAGCAAAGTATATTCCCTACTGAAAAAAGCACTCATATCTAAATAAAAATGCCATTACAGGATCATAAACTTCTTATGCTAAAGCTGACACCTATAATCTTCAAATCATCAATGTCATCTAGACTCACTAAGCTTGTTCTCATGATAGTGCCCATTTAAGGGTAAGAAGCCAAAGAAAGGTTATTTCCCTCTCATCACAATTCACCAGCCCATTATCTGGTCATCTTTAGCATCCCAGAAAAATGAAAAAAAACATTGAAAGCAATGGAGTCAAACTCCAGCTTAGAAGTGTTGAATAGCATGAAATGATGGAACTGTTGGAGGCAACTCTAAAGATTTGAAAGCACTGAAGGCCATCTTTGTAATTAGTTCACAAGGACATGATTTACCATTAAAGTGCAATTACATTTCAGAAAACTGGTGAACCTCTAAAGATTAAATCAAATTATCAAGCTTAGTTCATAGCTCAACATAATACCAAAAAAATGAAGCAAACAGCTCAGTCTTAATTCATTGAGAACTCAACCAGATGCTTCTCATCATATACAACCATTTGGAATAGGATCCACCTGTTTAATCTAACATGTAATTTTAAAAACAGCACTACAGGGGCACCCGGGTGGCTCAGTTGGTTAAGCAACTGCCTTCGGCTCAGGTCATGATCCTGGAGTCCCTGGATCGAGTCCCACATCAGGCTCCCTGCTCAGCAGAGAGTCTGCTTCTCTCTCTCACCCTCCTCCCTCTCATGCTCTTTCTCTAAAATAAATAAAATATTAAAAAAAATAAAAACAGCACTACATGCTCCTTGAAGCTTTCTTAACATGGTGTTAAGCCATGAAAAAAGCTAAAATTTATGCAGCAGCTGCTACTGTGTGCCCAAGATTTACACCAGGTGCTCTTAATGATTTTCATCCTCAAACTCTTTGGGATATGAACATCTAGCAGCGTTAAGTATCTGGATTAAGGTCACAGCTCATAAGAGGCAAAGCCAGTTCTCAAATCACCCATTTTTTTGGTTTTTTTGAAGCTTTCCGGTGACACCAATGTGCAGACAAGTTTGGGAACCACTACTCTATGGGTTCTTACGCACACCAAGAGTTAGGACACTGTTGCACTGAACATGAAGCAAAAGTGTTCTTCCAGAAGATCTTGTGATTTAACATATTATAAACTTCAATCATTGTGCCAGATTAAGTTTCTACAAAACAAATACTACATTAAGGGTAGGTGGAGTGAACTTACAGGATTAACTGCGCAATTTATGTCCCTTAACAAGAAAAACTCAATTACAAAACCTTTTAAAGTAGGTAATTACTGAATTACACATTTCCAAACTCTTAACTACAAACTTTTCGGGTCCTTGTGTCCCAAAGTGCCCATATTCTATATAATCTTTTGTTGGAGCACCAAACCTTTTAAGTTCTAGCATGCAGCCCTTAGCAAGGAAATAACATTAAGCAGCAAAATAGTATAACCGAAGCTTCTCTGCAGTACTTTGGAAGGCTCTGGGGGATTTTTCTATTTCTGCGCCCCCCCCCAACCCCACCATGGCCAGATGGCCATTATAACCTCCAGAAACATAACTGTTCAAAAGACAGTCATAATATCTAGCTCTCAATTAGTGATATCCTATTACTTAAAAGCCCTAGCAATGTATCCCTAAGTTTATCATGTAACTGAAAAATAAAAATTAAAATCCCACTTGAAAGAAAAACTTCAAAAGGGTGTGCCTTTTCTAAATCCAGGTACTTAGATTCAAATAAAAGCACTTAATTATAAAGTTATGAGTAGGAGATTATGGAGTATCCAAGTAGAATGTGATGTCAAGTTAATGACAGTTTTTTTGAGTCAAAAACAAGTCATTTATGACATATTCCTAAGTTTAAAGTATGTTCATATAACCATATTCTAGCAGTACATAATAAACATTAGCAAAAGGAATTTAAAGTATGTTTATAGGAACCAGGCCCTTCAAGACACTAATTTTTAATAGTTAATATAAATCTGATTGATTCAATCTTATTTATTTTTAGGTTAACACTTCTACATTTATTTCAACTTTAATAGAAATAGATTTATGGAAATATAAATAATTCTAATCCTTAATATAAAGCAAATAAGATACAATTTTTGAAATACTATTTTAAACCCATTACCATAAGAATTTTGCTCATTAATTACATTTCATACCAAAAAGGGGGGGGGAGTGCTGAGAGAAGGGAGGTAGTAATGAGGGAAGGATTACAAAGGAGGGGACACCAGAGAACTTCTGGGGGTGACAGGTATTGTTCACCACCTTGATTGCAGTGATGGTTTCACAAGTCAAAGCTTATCAAATTATATTCTTTAAGTGTGTAGTTTACATCAATTTATACTTTAATAGTCGATTGTAAAAAATAATCTGCTGCCGAGAAACTGAGTATGAAGCAGCCCAAAGTACTTTCTTTTTTCTTCAGACCTTCATGGCCTATTCTGAGTTCAACAATTCCACACCAGATGTGCAATTTAACTAGTTTCTGTACTTAGCTCCCTTTCAAACAATATGGTCCAAACTCTTTACCAGCTACCCATTATTCAGAGAGCAAGTTAAAATTACACTAAGCTTTATTTCTATTGAAATACTTTGTATGGATCCACCCACTCAGTAACCAAACTTGCTGCTATCATTTAATAATAACCACACCACTGCACCTTACCATGCTTACTAAACACATTCGGTATCAATGCCATGAATGCACAATAAACATTAATTAACTGCTGATGAGAATTAAGGCCAAAAAAAAAAAATTATCTGAATATAAAGCAGAAGATGCCAGAAAATTTTTCTTAAGAAATCTCTTCTGAAAGCTATTCAGTGGAAACAGTTAAGGTAGATTTTTAATGTAAACCACATTTCTCAGGTCCCTTCTAGCTTATGGTTAGCAAATACATTTCCCATCTGATAGATTTCATTAATCTGTTAAACAGTGCAATCTAAGAGTCCCCCAAACATTATGTGATACTGACAAAGCTTTGTCAAAGCATACTTGTAGATGTAATAGTACATTTAACGCTAGGTGACTGGACAGCATTGTGGTATATTATATAGTAAGAATCTATTTTCAAAGGTAACTTTAAGACCTATTTAATACTTTGTTACCACTCTAACTCATCCTCTCTTAGTTTTGTGGGGATGAAACTGTGCTTTTGTTTTAATTTCCCCATCACCACCAGTCTCGGTGTGAACAAAAAATCTGGCTTCTCTTGAAAGCTGGGGAGTTTGGGGAGGATCTTGAGGTAGAAACAGCAAAAACACTGCAGCCTTCTGAGAAAATACAATTTAAAACAAGAAAAAACTCTGATGATTAGCTTAATCTAACGGAAAACCTACATTCTTGCTCTGAGATCACACCCTTTACAAAATCAGCATATTATTTAAACACGGATGCAAATGGAATGAGGAAAGCTATAAGCAAATGCAGGTAAACAAAACCAGAAAAATCAAAATACAAACATACAAAGCCAAATTACTCTTCCAGTCAGCAATGAAACAGTAATGATTCTAAAATATGCAAGTGAAAAATAAAGTGACTATTTAACAACATTCATTTAATAAACTTGTTAAGCATTTGATAATAAAAAGGATTTTTTTCATAACTTTCTTTTTGTAAAGAAAGTAATCAGTATAACTTTGTTTTAGTAAGTAAATAAAGCATATTGTGTTTAGAAACCAAAACCTCGAACACTAGAGAGAACAACAATATTCTGAAAATCCAGTTTATTTTCCATGTGTGGACAGATCCAGTCAGTGTGATCAGTTTTTCTGCATGTGTAATAATTTATCAAAATAAGTTTTCCCACAAGACTCTTCCATCAACTCTGAAAGTCCTGGTCTGACAACATATCCAAATAAAGTTCTTGAAAATCACCTCTTAAAATTTGGAAGAAAGTGTGTCAAGTCTTTCCTGTAACGTTTACCGAACTACAAATGGCTAAAGAGCAATTTATGTTTTAAAAGGTGACTAGTACAACACTTGAGTTCAGGAAATTAATGTTTTAGTGCACTCTGCTCCAGTTTTAGCCAACATGCTACATTGTCCTTTTGGGGGCGGGGAGCACAAAGTGGACTTGAAGATTTCCATTGTACGAAAAAGATAGGACTCTGCAAGCAAAACAGTGTAAGCTGCCTTTTTTCTTAAGACCTGTTCGACATTTTAAGACAGAAGCTTTGCAAAACATTACACAATTTTTTATTATTAAATGAGAAAATCTCATTTGTTACATCGTCACATTGCTAGTCAGAGAAATGCTGCAGTGATGAAGAAAGTCAATGTTGGATCAACCAAAGTCCTCATTTCTACAACATTCATTTACAAAGAAATAATGTTCAACACAGCCCAACACAACATTCTTGGTTTTCTTCATAGTGAAGTCCCTCAAAAAAATCATCTTCTAATGGGGTATTTTACTACATAAATTATAGTTCTTCATTTTTACAATTCACCCCAAACTGTATGAGAGATGTATCACACTAAAATTTCTAAAGCTGTTAGGAAATCCTTCACACATCGTCATCATCTGATGTGTCACTGCTACTTGTCTCTGTGTCATCATTCTCAATAGTGGGTTTGAAAGTGCTGTTTTTCCAGGGTCCAAACTTGAAGTCACAGATGAGGCCATTTTTCAAAATACCATTTTTCCTCAGACCATTCTTCTGTAACTAAAATATCAAAAATAAATATATTAAATACATAATCTACCCTCCAGGGGTTACTTATAAATTAAGAATACTGTAATAATTCAATGTTACCATGAATACATTAATAAAATTGTATTCTACCCTGTATCATTTCTGGAAAACTAGTTAAATACAGTTAATTGATCCAACTGTTCTAACGAAATATTTCCGAGGACTAAATCCTTACCTTTTAGAGAACCACAATTAACATCTACCAAACCAAAAAGTAAATAAGTAAAATTAGTGTTTATTATTAGCATAGTGGAAAGAGCACAGATTGTCAATCCAGACAGGGTAGGTGTGGACATAACCCTATCACTTGTTAAGGTACCAAATAACCCTTTCCAAATTTTCATTTCCTTAAGTGAAAGTTGTACTAAATACCTTCAGATGTAACCAGAATAAAATCAGCAGCCATTATGCTTTAGCTGTTATTTTTATTCTGACCAAACTGGACTTTATTAACACACCCCACAAACTGCTTTATTCACACTTTGCAGAATAAGTAGAATACAAACTATTCCAGTAGGTAAGTATTCAAATGAGGTGCACAAAATAACAAAATCAAATACAGCCCTTTGCTTAACCAGAGAGATTCTAATACTGAAGAAAAAAAAAATAGTCTTCCATTTCCGAAAATGAGAAATCAGAACTAAACGTGTTAGATGGTAATAAGTAAGAACTGGGCCCAAAGATCACAAATTGGGGGGGGGGGGAGGGGTGGTTAATCCAAATTAGAAACAATTTAAAGACACAAAATTAAGTTACATTAATAATGGTAACACTATACTAATAACTCTGGTCTTCTAAATTTCTTTCATGAAATATCAGTCTCTGGTGATTTACACCAAAAATCTCTGAATACAACCTTCTAAGACCAAATCCACCTCTATATTATTATTTGGGCCTGTCTAGAAGTTTCACATTCTAGAGGGTTTGTTTTTTTTTTTTTTTCATTAAATCTTGAGTATTAGGTTAGGATCCAAACGAAAAGAGCCGCTTACATCACAGCTAATTTTGTTATATAGACTTTGACAAACAAGAAATAACAAGTCTAGAGTCTTAGCCCTCAATTGTCTTTTTGCCCTATGTAATTCTCTATTTTCCATAGCAGATTTCCTTTCTACCTAAATTATACAATTTAAGCTACCTCCCCTTCACTTTGAACAAATGACTTCATACCACCTTTACAGAGAAGAACCAAAGCCCATGTATGTATCCCCTGGTGTTCTCAGCCACTGTGATGATTACAAATACACCTTGACCCTTTCTTAAAGGTACACCTTTACCATCCCCCAAAGTTCTATCCTTGCTTTTCACATACTTATCATCAGTGCTGCCTCATCTTTCCACAGCCTGAAATCAGCTAGAGAACTCTGATTTTTAAAAAAGGGGGAGAAAATCTTTTAAAAAGAGAAAAAACCCAAATCTTTTTTCTATTTTCTCTAAATGTCTGCACTGTTCCCACAAACATCTAACTTAGCATGTTCTTTTTAAAAGCCTCCTAAAAAACCAGCTCCTCCTTTACTCCTGTTTATAATGATACAATTATCAGCTCACAGGTTAACAAACTGGTAAATCCATACAATGGACTACTACTCACCAAACACGGGTCAGCTTCAAAAGCATAAAAGCAGCCAAATCTAAAACTATACAGTACTTGGTTCAATTACTGAAACATTCCAGAGGCAAATTATGGTGACAGAACACAAGTCAATGTCTGCCAGGGACTGCAGCTGGGAGTAGAACTGAATATCAAGGGGGATGATGGTTATACATCTGTCATCTGTCAAAACTCATCCCACTCTGCCCTTAAAGTCAACGTTTTTATGTAAAATACACAGTATAAAAAAAAAAGACAAAAAAATCCCTTAAAACTGTTACCCATCATTAGCTTCACAACCATGTTATGAAAAATAACATGGTTCACTAAGAACTTCTGAATAAAAAATTTAAAGTGGGAAGAAGAAATATGAAATTGGAAAAGAAGTAAAATTATCTGTTCACTGAGAATATAGCAAAGTTGCACAATGAAGATCCACACACACAAGTCAGTTGTGCTTCTGTAACAATAATCCAAAAAGGAAATAAGAAAATTCTATTTACCATAGTTTTAAAAAGAATAAACACTTAGAAATAAATAAGGAATAAACAACCAAAAGGGGCCAAAAATTTCTACAATGCAACTATAAGTCACTGCTGAAAAAATTTTAAAAAACACCAATATATATAAAGACAGTCCATACTCCTGGATTAAAAGCCTTATTATTAGGATGTGAATATTACATCCAAAGCAATCTACAGATGAAATGCAATCCCTATCAAAATCCCAAAGGTTATTTTCTGCATAAGTAGAAAAACCCATCCTAAAATTCATATGGAATCTCAAAGGATTCCAAATAGCCAAAATAGCTTTTAAAAACAACTAAGTTGGAAGTTTCATGCTTCCTGGTCTCTAAACATTTGAGAGTTGAAGTCATCAAGACAATGTGGTACTGGCAAAAAATCAAACAGAAAAGACCAGTGGAATAGAAAGCCCAGAAATAAACCCTTGCATATACAGCTGATCCCTGAACAATACAAGGGTTAGAGGCACCAACCCGCCTCCTCCACCCCATGGAGTCGAAAATCCATGCATTACTTTTGACTTCCCCAAAACTTAACTACTAACAGTCTACTGTTGACTAGGAAGACTTACAGATAACAGAAAGGCAATTAATATATATTTTGTATGTTATATATATTATATACAGTATTCTTACAATACAGGTAAAAAAATGAAAATGTTAAGACAATCATGAGAGGGTGCCTGGGTGGCTCAGTTGGTTAAGCGACTGCCTTCAGCTCAGGTCATGATCCTGGAGTCCCGGGATCGAGTCCCGCATCAGGCTCCCTGCTCAGCAGGGAGTCTGCTTCTCCCTCTGACCCTCTTCCCTCTCGTGCTATCTCTCATTCTCTCTCTCTCAAATAAATAAAATCTTTAAAAAAAAAAAAGACAATCATGAGAAAACACAGGTACAGTACTACAATCATAAGAGAAAATACAGGCACAGTACTGTAAAAAAAAATCTGTATCTAAGTAGACTCATGCAGCTGAGATCTGTGTTCTTCAAGGAGCAACTGCATACTCAAATGATTTTTGACAAAGTTTTGACAGATATATCCAAAAGAATGAAGGCAGGTCCTTACAACACAAACAAAAACTCAAATGGATCAAAGACTTAAACGTAAGAACCAAAACTATGGAACACCGAGAAGAAAACACAGGGGAAAGCTTCATGACATTCAGTTTGGCAACATTTCTGGAATATGACAGTAATAGTAGGGGGACCTAAGAAAAAAAATAGGTGAACAGGACCTCATCAAAAATTTAAAACTTTCATGTATCAAAGAATATAATCAAAAGAGTAAAAAGGCTATCTATGGAATGTGAGAAAGTATTTGTAAATCATGTTGGAGTTAAAATCCACAATACATAAAGAAGTACAACAACCTGATTAAAAATGGGCGAAGTACTTGAATACGTTTCTCCAAAGAGGATACACAAATGGCCATCTCAACAACACTAACCAATACTGAAGTGCAAATTAAAACAATGAGATAACCACTTGGCAACCATTAGGATAGCTACTATCGAAAAATTAATTAATTCTTGAGCACCACTGGTGAGAATGTAAAATGGTGCAGCTACTGTGGAAAAATGGTATGGTGGTTCCTCAAAAAGTTTAACACAGATAACCATATGATCCATCAATTCTATCAAACATTTCCTAATACTCTTTCAAAAAAGAAACTATGGAGACAAAAAAACAAGATGTTTCAGAACTTGAAATATTCTTATGCAAGGAAAAGGATAAAAGGTGAAGCTATTTGGGAAGCTACTGATGCTTTTTACTTATCCCCATACTATTTAAAAAAAAAAAAGTCAGGGCGCCTGGGTGGCTCACTCGTTAAGCGTCTGCCTTCGGCTCAGATCATGATCCCAGGGTCCTGGGATCGAGCCCCGCATTGGGCTCCCTGCTCAGCGGGAAGCCTGCTTCTCCTTCTCCCACTCCCCCTGCTTGTGTTCCCTCTCTCGCTGTGTCTCTGTCAAATAAAATCTTTAAAAAAAAAAAAAAAAAAGTCTGGAACATGATAAATCATAGACATATTATTTATACTAATTCCTAAGCACTGCAGACTAGTTTAAAACAAAGATAATTCTGACATATATACTGCGATGTCTAATAAATTCCTAAAGAGAAAGGAATAAAAACCTCCCTTCCCTTAAAAAATGCTTAGTGTAATATGTTGTTCTGATTAAGGGAAGGCAATTTAAGGTGAACCTGTATGATCCAGGTCTTCTCACCTGTTCACTAATAACTTGGAATTCTCTCATTTCATCCTCAGTTAAGGGAGCACATGTTTCATCATTCTCACTGTCTTCTTGCCAGCCCATCTCCTTTAACAATCTGAAAAGAAGGTAGGTAATAGGAAATAGGTAAATTCAGAGCTTCACCCAAGTAGGATAATACCATTTACATCGTGTGCAAGAAAACACCATCCAGATCCATTATACAAAGTCCTCGAGACAAAAGAACTTGTTGGGGCGCCTGGGTGGCTCAGTCGTTAAGCGTCTGCCTTTGGCTCAGGTCATGGTCCCAAGGTCTCCACATGTGCTCCCTGCTCAGCAGGAAGCCTGCTTCTCCCTCTCCCATTCCCCTGCTTATGTTCCCTCTCTCACTGTGTCTCTCTCTGTCAAATAAATAAATAAAATCTTAAAAAAAAAAAAACTTGTTTACTCTATGCTTTCAATCTTTCTGAAAATGAAAAGTTAGTTAGATAAGATTAAGAATGAACCGTGCAATTGCTTTAACTTTGTTGTCAGAGGTTCTCCAGGCTGGAAATTTGCAAAAGAGTCTCTAGCTCAGAAACTGGAAAAAAAAAAAAATTGTTAAAAACTTAAAAGCAATAGTCCTCCTGGTTTTCTTTAATATCATCACAATCTATCATACTCTTAGCTACTCATTAGGTTTTTTACTTTGAAAAGGCTAAGCTATCTTACCCGCTACCTTGCATTTTATAGTGTATTTACCTGTTGATACCACCTCTTACATGTATGCCAGTCATCAACCTCAACACATATTTCAATGTGAAAGGAGCATTGTGCTCTACAGTAACAGAAAGACCACTTTTTTCAAAGCTCTTAACTAGGATCTAAGTAAGTAAAATAAATATGGTTATTCTGTTTTCCTTCCATCCTAGGCAAAGAGAGCTTAAAACAAAAAAAAAAATCAGCAGGGAACCAATGACTTTTCTCCAGTCAGGCAAATATGAAAATCAGTCATAGCCGATACATTTGACTCAACTATATCAAAGTTTTTCTTATACAGCCACATATATTGTATTGGTCTGTCTGTATTGGTTTTTTAATAATTATCTCTAAGTATTTGTTATTTTATTTATACCTACTCATCTTTCAACTTGAGCCTGCCACAAAGGTCTTGTACCTTTTCAAATAATCTCACAGAATATCAGTGCTCAGAGAATCTGAATAAAATTTAACACAACACCCATATTTTACATATAAAGAATCAAGATGATGTAAGTAAAATAACTTGCCTACTTGATGGCAAAGAAGCAAAGAGAATTCTGGTTTTCTCCTTCTGAGTTAGTTTATATTGCACCAAACCCTCTAGATCAAAATGTCACAAATCGTTGTCAATTACTATTTCTCTCATTCCTTTTAATCATTTAACACTTCTTTTCCAACACACTGTCTTCACTCTTTTAACCTAGACAGCTTCTTATGGAATGGCATTTCCATTCCCAATGCCACCTAGTTCAGAGTCTAGAGACCTAGACTGATAAAACAATCTTATTTTTGCTAGATCCTTTCTTGTTTCACTATTAAAAACTGAATGTTAACTAAACAATAATGCAAATGAAACAAATTATTTCAAACTGTATAGAAGACAAGCATTCCTAAATGTCCAATCTCATACCTTTCCCTTTCCTTCCAGTAGGTGTAACAGTTAACTGTTCCTGGAATAGCTTTCAAAACAAATACTTTGCCCCACAGTTAGTAATATCACTGTGACAGTGATCTGTATCTTTGTTCTTTCATTAGCGTTTCTCCTCATTCTCTCAAACTATTACCAAGTCACCCATACACCTTACACTTTCACAATACCCTCTGCTAAGTGTTTCCAATTGCTTCCCACTTCCTAAAGAACAAACTCATTAACTTTAACACCATGACCACAAATTCAAATTTCTTACATTAGAAAAAGCATAAGTTTAGAAGCAGAGGAATTCCTACTCTGTCACACACAGGTATATAAGCCAAAGGCAAATTCCTTCACTTCTCTGAGCTACTTCTTCAAATGAAGAAGCTTGAATAGATCTCGAAGGCCCTGCCTCTTCAATGTCATCTCTAATTCTATTAAGGACTACATACTCCCTCAAGACACCTCACTCACTGCCCCTAAAACAAACTAGGTATGTATTCAACCCTAAATATCCCTTTCACACCCCCTTCTTGTCCTATTAATGTCTCACCTTTAAAGATTTAATTTAGCTCTGAATTACTCCTTCTGACTGGTACTCAAGCCATGAGATCTATCCCAAACTCCCTTGAATTTCTCTGGCACTCATTTGATGCTTTCAACAACTACCCCCCCCCCCACCTGCTTAACGTTCAGGCTATCCTATCATGATAATACACTGAAACTTGACAACAAAACTAAGAATATATGTTTTTAATATTTTATATGTTTCATTATTTTTCATTTTAAATTTGTTTACACATGTGAACTAAGAACTGTCATCCTTGAGAACTGTATCACTGACACCTGATTTGTTAAATTCAACCTATGCAAGTTCTTAATATGCACGTAACTTAAGAATCACAAAGTTTACAAGAAATCTGAAGCCAGGGAAAAGAAGTATCACTCCATTTTCAGAGAAATAAAACCTAAAATCTAAAAGAAGACATTAACTTTGTTACCTCAAAAAAAAAAGTATTAATATGTATCTGTAGAACACCTAGAAACATACACTATACAAAACAGAAAGAAAACTCAAGCTAAGAAATTTAAATTAAAATGGTTCCCAAGTAGTAACACATTTACTTCCTCTTTTTATTGACTTGGGATGGATCCTTTTTAGCAAGTGCAACATTTCCACAAAATAATATACAGTCTTTAAAACAGAACAAAACAAAGACATATATAATGAAGTATTCATTCAGGCAGTCATCACTGATAATCTCTTTATGCAGCATGGGTTCCCCACCAACCATCCTAGAGTTTATTCCAATTCTGGATCTCCTCTTCTTGCTCTATTTGGCTTAGTTCCTAAATCCTATTCTCTCAATTTTCTCATGTTACTCGTCAGCAGAGGACCAAACTCTCTCAAGGTATGGAACGTCAAGTCTCTCTTCCCTGCATCTTCATGAACCAAAGAAGAAACCACCAAAATGCTTTCTACACTATGTCTGCAGATGAAGAAATAATAACATTAAATCATTCATTATAGGTACTGGGGTTATAAGAATATTTTCTAAGTAACTGTGGCTCAACCTTCTTTTGCCACAAAATACTGAAGGCAAATAAAAAAAAAAGGTACTGAAGTTTTGACTCTACTATTAAGTTTCAACTTTTACTACAGCCTTAACAGTTTCTACAAGTAAATATCTTTATTCTTTTATTGCCTATGCTGTATCTCCCTAAAAAAGAATTCATCTTTTACTATCATTAGAACATATGCTTTGTACACTTTCTCTGCACAAGACTTGTTCTCTTCTATCAACTGCCTGACTAGAAATATTTAAACGACTAGTGGTGAGAATGGGAACTGGAAAAACATCTTTGGGTACTAACGTGGCAGAATCTGATTAATTATGTGTGCCATTTGACCAATTAACTTCATTCCCAGTAGTCTGTTTTATACACACTTACACAAATGTTTAAAGATATAAATACAAGGATATTCACATGGGCACTTTTAAGATTTTATTTACTTTGAAAGAGAAAAAGAGTGAAAGCAGGGGGAGGGGCAGAGGGAGAGAAAGAATCTCGAGCAAACTCCATGCTGACCACAGAATGCGACAAGGGGCTTGATCTCACGACCCTGAGATCATGACCTGAGCCAAAATCAAGAGTCAAACACTGAACTAACTGAGGTACCCAAATGCCTCACATGACCACTACTTGTAAAAAAGAAACACAGGGAAGGAGATCCCTGATCAGTAGGTAAATAGTTTCATAAATTAAATCCATATTACAGAATAGTAGCTTCAAAGGAGGTATACAATATTTCTACTAGAATGGGAAAAAATACTGAAATGTCTACTTATACCTTTCTTTTCAAAAAGGAGTTTCTGCACGTATGACATTGCAACCATTACTTGGCCTATGATCAGAGTCACAAGTCATAAACTGTATCATGAGGTAAAGGGAATCCTACCCTTTGGGTGGGAAAAAGTGTGGTTACTGATCCATTCATACTAAATGCGTAGTAACAAAATACAGTTTGCCCAAACAAGTAAATTTAAAGATATTACCTAGTTAAGTTAGCTTAAAATTAATCTAGTTAAATTAACTCTCATCAAATGAGCATTCACATTTATCATCCACCCAATAAATTATTTTAGGTAAAAGGAAGTCCAAGTTGGTATAGGAGGATTACAAAATTAAAACAAATGCCTATATTCTCATACACAATAGTTATAGCCACATCTAAAAAGAGCAAGACATGATCTGGTAAAGGGGAACAAAAACCATCATGGAGATAAAGAATAATGTATGAATTGGGCCAGAAAGACAAAGACTTAAAGGGGCCTTTAATATAAATTTTTAAAAGTTATTCCCCAGTAGGTATAAGCCTATGTCCCCAGTGTCTTAGAATTAAATGAAGTTCTAAGAGAAATGGCATGAAACTAAACAGAAAGTCAAGTCAACCACCTAGGCTGTTAAGAAGTATCACTCCACACTGAGCCTGGTCCTAAAGGATGTTTAAAAAAATTTTAAGATTTTATTTATCAGAGAGAGAGAACACAAACAGGGGGAATGGCAGGCAGAGGGAGAAGCAGGCTCCCCCCCTGAGCAAGGAGCCCTGACATGGGACTTGATCCCAGGGCCCTGGGATCATGACCCGAGATGAAGGTGGACGCTAAATAGGACTCAACGACCCAGGCATCTCAGGATGTAAAAACTTTTAATGGAAAAACAATTCAGTTTACACAAAGCAATTACAGGGTAATATAAAGACAATATAACTGTACATTTTATTGCTTTAGTAGTTACACTGAAAAACTGCATAAATATGTATGGAATAAAGTCTATAAAAATGAAAACTATAAGGACATCTAGGTGGCTCAGTCGGTTAAGCATCCACCTTCAGCTCAGGTCAGGATCTTAGGATCCTGGGATTAAGCCCCCACATAGGGCTCCCTGCTTAAAGGGGAGTCTGCTTCTCTCTCTCCCTCTGCCCCTCTTCCAGCTCATGCTCTCTCTCCCCCTCTCAAATAAATAAGGTCTTCAATAGAAAAAAATGAAAATTAATACTAGTATATATGGTAGAGAGCGTAAGTTTTGGTGCCGTAATTTCTCCCTTCATGGTGTTTGAGTTAAATCAGCTGAAGTGTATCTCTGTACCACAATTTAAGCTTCAATAAAAGTCTGCTTAATTAAAACAACAAAAAAATCAAAAGGAATTAAGCAGAAGTCCTTAAGTCCTTCATTTACTAATGCTGAACCCTGTGGTTTATTTTAAGATCACATGAAGGGTTATTTCTACAAAATACCTGCTCTTACCTCTACAATCCTAGGAGAAGAAAACATAAAAGTTCACTCTAGACTTCAATACTCTTCAATTCTTAAACTTAAGAGTTCCCTCTTTAAAACCTGTTTAAAGACTGTAATAATGGAAGCACAAAGTGCTCTTGAAAGTTTGCAAAAAATAAATAAATAAATAAATAAATCACATATTGAGACAATTGTATATCCACATGGAAGAGGATTAATTTGGACCCCTATACCTCACACCATGAACAAAACGTGCAAAAAGGAATAAAGGGGAAAAAAACTGATAAAATGACTTCACCAAATTTAAAGTTTTTATATTTCAAAGGGCACCACTGAAAAAATGAAAAAACAACTCAGAATGGGAAAAAATATCTGCAAATTATATATGATTATGGACTTATATTAAAAAATATATACAGAACTCTTATACAATTCAATAAGACAAATAATACAATTTAATAATGGGTAATGAATTTCAACAGGTATTTCTCCACAGAAGACATACAAATGGCTAACAAGTACTTAAAAAGATACTCAACACGGTCAACACTGATTTTTAAGTGAAATGCATTATTAAAAACCACAAAAAGATACCACTTCATATCCATTAGAATGGCTAAATGAAAGACAGATGGTAAAAGGTGTTGGTGAAAATATGCAGAAACTGGAAGCTTTATCATATATTGTTGATGAGAATGTAAAATGGTACAGTCATTTTGGAAAATAGTTTGGCAGTCTCAAACTGTTAAGCTTATGTCCTAGCAATTCCACTCCTGATATCCACCCACCAAAAGAACGAAAAACATGTCCATACAAAAAGTTAGACATGAATGTTCCTATAGTAGCATTATCCAGAATACTCACCACGTACAATCTCAATACCCATCAAAACTGATGAACAAAATGTGAAAGAGCCATACAGTGTACTGTTAATAAAGATACACAAGGTACTGACACACTCTACAACATGAATCTTGAAAGCATTATGCTAAGTGAAAGAAGCCAGACATAAAACACCAATATATGATTCTATGTATGTAAAATATCCAGCAAAGGCAAGTCTATAAAGAAAATAGATTAGTAGTTACCTAAGACATAGAGGAAAATGGAGAAATAAATGCAAATGAGCACAAGGTTTCTTTTAAGGGAGATAGAAATGTAAAATCAGAATGTGAAGACAGTTGCACAGCTCTCAATATACCAAAAATCATTAACTGAACACTTAAAATAGGGGAAATTTGTGGTAAACAGCTCAATAAAACTGTTAAATAAATCACATTTCTATACTAATATTAAAATCCTGGATGTAAAACATGCAGAGAAAAAGTAAAAATGAATACTAACCTGTGTTCTGCCTCAAGTGAACTGGAAAGAACATCGGTTTGTGGGAAGGTTGAAGACCGAATGATCTGCTGGGAAATTACTGAGGCATTGCCATTCTCCTGTGGAATTTCATTTTCATCAAAGTTTCGGTTTATATCCCTTTCTTGGTGAGTACTATTGCTGTTATGCAAATTAAATGAATCCTCATCCTGATTTTTAGGGAGTTAAAAAAAAAAGAATGAGTTAGAGAATATAGCTGTTGAAAACTTTAAATAGATTCTGGTTAGATTTCCATATAATAACTTAAGTATTATAATCATTAAATTCAGGAGACCTTCTCAGAAGATATAAAAGTAAGCTGTGAAGGATACCCACGGCTTTCCGACTCTATGTCTTCACATTTATTCAACAAGCGGCATCAAAAGGATGAAAGTAGGCAAGACAGGACAACAGAGAAGAAAACATCATTTTGCACAGAACAACAGAATGATAAAAATTTATACAAAGAGTAAACTAGCCTTGCTTTCAGGGAGATGAGTTTTTTTTTTTTTTAACGGAGATGACTATTTTGATTAAAGTTTATTCAAAGGTCTTAAATGGTATCTGCCCAAATATTTCAATGATATGTTAATGTCAAACCAAGAGTTACCTTCTCTGAGCCAGCATGACTTTCATCTTCATGTTCCTCTTCTACTCTGTCCCTTTTCAATGCTTTCAAAAATTCACTCTTCTTATCAGTGCGCATACGTGTCAGTTTGGTTAGACGAGGCTGCTGATTAAGTTTGTCAACAGGTGAAGAGGAATTTGAGCGATTACACTAAGAAAAAAATTCAGAAATATTAATAAATACGTAGACAGAATCAATATAAAGTTAACTACCACAACTTCCTATTTCACCCTATTCACAATACAAAATTGATTTTAAAGTCTTATTTTCCTCTATCCTTGTTTTATTTATACCACTGAATGAGTAAAATTCTTTTTCTTATCCCATAAAACAATTAAGGTCTGACACTACTAACAACTACTGTTCTAAATTGAGAGCTTAAATATAATTTTATAAAACAGATCGTAAACCTATTTAAATATGCCTATAATACATATAGGACAGAGTTCTAAGGCTCTAATTTAAACAACTCCAATAAAATCTTTTTATAATTATTTACAAACAGATACACAGGGAGTTTATCAGATAGGATTTCACCAAGGAAAATGTGGCAGAGCAGGAGGGAGATGGGGAGGGAAATGTACTAGAGTCCCTTTGTTTTTGGTGTTTTGTTTTGACAGTGGAATACAATAGAAAATAGAATGTTAAAACTCTGTGTCACAGGATTTTTAGCCAAGGAAAACTACCATAATGCCAAACTGTTGGCAATAATGTCTACAGACCATAAGGAATCTAAGCCACTATTACCAGCTGAGAATGCTGGTCCTCTCATCCCAGTTCTAAATTTCTAACTTTACTGGTTTATTAAAAAACAGTAAATGAGGTGCTATGATGTTCCAGTACAGTACACAGGGCAATTTCAAGTGTAGCAACATAGAAACAAGTGTCTTTTGACCCTGAAGTAATCAGGGAACTCCCTGGTCTAGAAGCTTCAGAAACTTGGTCAAATGACAGAGAGATACTTAACCTACCAGGCATTCAAAGTCCATAAAATGACAATATTCATCTTTCTCTTCCTCCTCTCCTCTCTGGCCCCTTGAGTGTTAACACTGATAAAATGTCTATCATCCCCCAAAGATTATATGATACAAATCCTCATTTTTAGTCAAGGTTCAATCTTACAGCATAGCACAACTATCACAAACGTCAAAATTGCAATTGTCATAATTCTTTTAAAAATTTGTACTTGTGGCTGATTGTTAAGTCGGCATTTCATTGTATTATTTTCTCTACATTTTAGGATACTTGGGAATTTTGTTTAAAAATATTTAAATTATTCCTACTTAAAAGTGCAAAAATGATTAGCAAAGATCAAAGTATCTCAAGCAAGTCTTCCGAAAGAACGGAAATACCTCATTTTAATATATTCATTTAATGAATCTATGCCTTCTGCCCGTTAATTTGATTAAAATATGCTGCATTCCTCAGCAATAATTCCAGATGACATACCTCTTTCACTGAAGTTGTTGATGGACTAAAATTCTTGGCAGTTGATTTAAAAGCATTGAAGTTGCCAACACCATATGTAGACTCATGAGGGAAAGAAGTCCCAACTTTATTTTCTTTAGTTTGGCTTTTCCATTGTGTAGGCTAAAGAAAAACATACAAACATTAATGTGTTTCAAAAACAGATTATACGGAGAATAACAAAGTGAACCCTATAAAATAAAAATGACTACATGCAACTCATAAAGCAATTATTTTTGTATTACATCTTAATCATTCCTACATATTTCTCTTTTATCTTTTCCTACAAATAAAATCAAAGGCTGGCATTCAGATAAAAACATCTGGCTGCAATGCTATTTTTTCAAAGTTTTATCAACCTAAAGTTAGGTTTGCTTTATCAAAAAACACAAGTAGGAGCTCCAAAAACATAAAACTGAACACCAAGAAAACACTATATATTATTAAGCATATATATCATAGATTCATCTGGCAAAACGAAATTTTAGATTCCATTTACTACTAGTAAAACAAGAAAACCTATACATGGACAAACACACCATTTAAAAGGTAACTAAAATTAATGACACACAATGAGCCAACTCTTCCCACTTAAAAGTCAGTGCCCCACCAACAACCCTCTCACTTTGGTGTAAAATTTTTAACATTCTTTTCCTAAGTTAACTCAAATTAGTACCAACTTAAAACTTGCATTTTAACAATTCAGAACTTACTTTTGTAGGTGGAGCAGCAGGTTTAGGGACTAAGCCTTTATAAACACTTGGACCAGTCCCGTTCTTAACTGGTTGTGATTGAAGATTTCCTACCACTGGGAATCCAGATAGCTGTAAGTCTTTTGTATTACCTTTCTTAATGACCAGCATCCTTGGAGCTCTAGATTTAGGATTCGGAGGATATTCTGCATAAATAAAGCACAAGCAAGAGTTACACACAGCTAAATTTTAGCATAAAATTAAATCACCCAAAATACAGCATATTCCAAACCTTGATTATATTTAAAAATAATAGCTGCTTCCTGGGTAAAATAATTAAGCTAAATAAGTATGAGCTATATTCCTGCTTCAGAAAGAAAAGCTACAACATAATCAAACAGAATATAGCAAGAACTGAGCAATGTCAAGTAATACAGATGATTTCAGCTCAACGGTGGCCTAGAATATTAACTATGACCAAATCAAGATTAATCTACACTCTAACATATTTTTATTTTTGAAATGCAAATTTCACCCTAGTTGTGCCTAAGACTTGGAAGATAAAGTACATTATATTTTTGCCTTTTCCATTTTAAAAAGACATTTTCCCTAATTCCTTCTCATTATCTCACTTATATAGTTATTGCCAATAAACAAGAAACTACAGTCCCTCTATTTCTAAATTTCTACTAAAGTTATGACTAACAGAAAATAGATTTCTATTTTCACAATACCAAGTCATTCAAATATTTATTGGCCATCTAACTACAATGAAGGCATTATGCAAAAGTTACAGGGCAACGAATTCAATCCTTCTCAAGATAGTACTTTGAATAGCTGCTAACTCAAAGCGTTTTTCTCAAGAAAACTGCAGTTGTTAAAATATGAAAAACTGCCCACAGAGTTTAGTTTATGTATACCCCTAGAGTTAGTTAGTGTAGGTGTTACACGTGAGCATGCTCACAATTACTGTGGTGAAGTGTTTCCTCCCTTATAAAAATTCTCTAAGTATCAGTTTCATAGTTGGAGAGCTTAGGGTAAAAGAATGAACTTAAGGGGAGAAAGCTTAGAAAATCTAAATCAAAATTAGCATAATGAGTTGCCTACATGGTTTGTGAGGATGCCCAACCTCAAATAACTAAACCAAACTTTCTACTAAATCATCTCAAAAACTAAACTACACAAGGATTTGGAGGGACATGAAGGTACTCTCAAAGTTTATCGGAGGCTTCAAACTCCTCAAAATATACAGCGGGTATGATGCTTCATTTATTTTAATGGTGAAGTACAAAAGAACAAGGACCTAGAGCAAACAGCAATCTTTGCACAGGTTAAACATATGGCTCACCTACTAAGGCAAACATTCCAACTTCTTGGAGGCCTTAAAAGACCTAAGAAATAAAGGCTAAGAAAGAAATCTTCAGGCACACAACACAGAAATTAAATAAGCAATATACAGCTTTTCTAAAGAACATACAAAATTAAGTCAACAAAACAAAAATTAAGGATAAAGATCTCAAACACAGGTGAAAGCAGAATGCTAAAAATAGCACTAAACAATTTAAGTTTTGCAATTATTACTTCTGGTAAACAGATGATGACAGTGTGAATAAAATTGTAAAAAAAAAAAAAAGATTAAATTAGCAATTCTTAAAATTCAAATTTAAGAGAAATTCTTAATAGCCTGGTATTCAAATTCTAAATGAAAGTCAGGAATCTGGAATGAATGGTGCTAGGAAATGCAAACGGTATTAAGTTTGCAAGGTTTCAGAGAAATTCAAGTGTTGAAGCAGAGGACATTTCTATCAGTACACCACAATTAAAGAAATTCAAACATGACTGATAAGCACTTCCAGTTCAATATGGCCCATTAAGCACACATTTATCTTCTTTACCTTATAGTAGGTCCTTATGTTAAAATTACTATAATGAGGGAAGAAAACAAATACAACAGGAAAAGGGTCATCTGCAAGAGATGGTATCAACCCCACACTTCTAGAGAAAGAAAGAAAGAAAAAAACTTTAGCGTATCCACAAAGGAACCTAACAGCGGAGGATGGGACTAATCAACCTTACAAAATCTTGGATTATAAACAGGACTTGAAAAAAACCATACATGGCAGAGGGCAGAAGCGAAACTTTTGTTCAAAGACCAACCACTAAAAAAAGATCCCTACTAAAGGAAATCCTAAACAATGTACCGCAGGCAGAAGGAAAATGATCCCAAGTGGAAGGCTGAAGGTTCGAGGAAAAAAAAATATTTTGTGCATAAACAATCAAAATTAAAAGTCAAAGAGAAAGAGAATAGATAAGCAAAACAGGTATATTATCTTTAAGCCTCAACATAGTTCCTGACTACAAAATTCATTTTCCTAAATTTGGATTCTTAGACACCTAGAGCAAGAAATATTCTGGCTTCTTCCTCAAAAAGGCCTTCAGTGCAAAGATAGAACACTCTATAAAAAAAGAATGTGAAGGGACGCCTGACTGGCTCAGTCAGTAGAGCATGCAACTCTTGATCTCAGAGTCAGGAGTTCAAGCCCCACGTTAGGTGTGAAGTGTACTTAAAAAAAAAAAGAAGAAGAAAGGTGAAGCATAAGAAATAAATCACAGAAGACTAAGCAGCAAAGTAAAAGATGATAAAGGTACCCAAAGGAAAATGATAGGGTTTGAGAGGGAAAAGCAGCAGACATGGTGCTAATGCATTGATCAGGCATTCATATTCAAATATTAGAGTACAGGTTAAGAACATGTACTGTGTACCAAATTTATAGAATCTTGCTCCAATCTTATGAACTCTCTTATCTATAAAGTGAAAAACAAAAGTTCCTGTCACAGAGTTACTGTGAAAAGTTTTTTAAACAAATACTAAAAAAAATGTCCAAAAAGTCAAATACTATCCCCAAGACGCTTCCAATTATATTTCAGTATTGTATCAAATTTTAGGTTGATTTAACATTATGGAAAATGAGAAAAATTGTGACAGAAATAAACGTAATACAGACTAACTTATGTCCTGTGCAACTGTCCTGAATAAAATGAGCCTGACCATTTAAAAATAAGAAAGTGGGGGTGCCTGGGTGGCTCAGTCAGTTAAGCATCCAACTCTTGATTTCAGTTCAAGTCATGATCTCAGGCTCCCGGGACAGAGCCCCTCGTCAGGCTCTGAGCTCAGGAGTCGGCTTAGATTGTCTCCATCTCCCCACTTGCACGCTCCCTCTCTCAAAATAAAAATAAAAACGAGAACGTGTTCTTAACAGCAATCATTACATAAATGTAAAGGGTGATGGCAGCACTAGTTGCCAAACTTAATTTGAGTCATTTATATTCACTTTATATTACGGTTGACCCTTGAATAACAAGGTTTGAACTGCACCAGTCCACCTATATGCAGGTTTTTTTCCCAATAAATAAAAGTACAATTTCCTATTCCTTATGGTTTTCTGTTTTCTTTTCTCTAGCTTACTTTAAGAATATATAATACATGTAATATACAAAATATGTGTTAATCGCCTGTGCTAACAGTAAGGCTTCCAAACAATAATAACTATTAGAAGTTTTTTTTGGGGGGGGTCAAAAGTTATACATGGATTTTTGACTGAGTGGACATTAAGGCCCCCAACTCCTGCATTGTCCAAAGGTCAACTGTTCTTACAAATGTGTTCATCTGTTCAGATTCTCTCTACAAATTCTCCTGACCTAAATCTTCCAAGTACTGAAGCTGTTGGATTCAAACAGTATCCAATGTCTCCTTCTCTACTTTCTCCATTACTTTGTCAACTAGTAAACTATATGAAAAAACCCAATATTTAAAAGAGAAAATTTACGTACTGGCGAAAGACTTTAACACTTAAATAAGTAAGTGCTTCCTTCTGTAAATTACATGACCTTATTATCTCATAAGTAGGTATTCTTTTAAATGTAAGTTTAAAACATCTGGAGGCAGAGTGCCTGGGTGGCTCAGTTGGTTAACCGTCTGCCTCTGGTTCAGGTCATGATCCTGGAGTCCTGGGATCGAATCCCATAGCAGACTCCCCTGCTTCTCCCTCTGTCCCTCACCCTGCTCAGGATCTCTCTCTCCTCCCCTCTTTTTCAAATAAATCTTAAAAAAAAAGAAAACACCTGAAGGCAAATATTGGTTTAAGATTTTCATACCATCATTTTCCACTATCCTCACAAACTGTAATCTAACAGAAACTGACTTTAAATATCTCTTTATTATCTTGTTATTTATGCTCTCCCAAGATTTATGAATAGTCTTTTTCCTTAAACACAAAGTGAATGGTGGGAGGAGGATGAGCTCAATTCTTTGGAGAAAAAGTTATAATTAAAATAGTGCCATCTGTAGCACAAAGTAATTTGGTAACATGTATAGAGAGCGGACATCTCAATTTTTCATCCTGTCTTCCACTACTCTTCATGTAGGTATCTTGAATATATTTTTGGATTCAGTCCCTTATTACTTTATTCTTTGATCTCTCACTTAGAAATTCCTTTTGCTTTTTAATAAGTCTACTAGAATATGCACTGCTTATTAGATTTGAACATAACTTAGCTAACATTCATTACACACCTGTAACATGATCAAGGATTTTATACAACAGATTGATTTTACAGTTAAATATTTTATACAATATTAACCATGCTTTTCTCATTAAAATTGTGATCATCCTCAGGATGCCTGGGTGGCTCACCCAGTTAAGCATCTGCCTATGGCTCAGGTCATGATCCTGGGGTCCTGGGATCCAGTCCCACATTGGGCTCCTTGCTCAGCGGGATGTCTGCTTCTCTCTCTGCCTGCTCTGCCTACCACTCCCCCTGCTTGTGCTCGCTGACAAATAAATAAAACCTTAAAAAAAAAAAATTGCGATCCTCATCTCACAGAAAATTCACTCAATAGATTAAGTCATCTGCCCAAAGTCTAAATAACCATTACGTAAGTAAAAGACCTAATGTCTGGACCCAGGTCTGTGGGATTCCAAAGCAAATACCCTTAACCACTATACTATACTAGTGGAGAAAACGGAAATTAAAGTATTGCTAGGCCATATACTTCAAAATGTTTACCATCCCCAACTAAAAATACTACTAATAGGCGTATAACTAAATGTTCAGAATGAGAAGCCTATTAAGTGCATACTACCAAGTGAGGTCAAAGTCCACTGTTTTCTGATGCCAAGTTACTGATTTAAGTTCCTTATTATCTTGATCTAAGAAAAGAGGCCATGTGAATGTGTGAACAAAAGCATATAGCCAAATGAAGGGTGAAATACCTGTGAATTAAATTTTCACACTAACTTGAAGAGGAAATTTAGTCACGTAAGACACAATAATACACAAATATCAAACTCAATCTGTACCACAGCAATTAAGACAACTTCCTATTGTGAACACTAATTTTAATGCAGAAAATTAAAAGTTTCTGATTTATATAAATTGATGCTGTTTTAGGGGCGCCTGGGTGGCTCAGTTGGTTAAGCGACTACCTTCGGCTCAGGTCATGATCCTAGAGTCCTGGGATCGAGTCCCGCATCGGGCTCCCTGCTCAGCAGGAAGTCTGCTTCTCCCTCTGACCCGCCCCCCTCTCATGTGCTCTCTCTCAAATAAATAAATAAAATCTTTAAAAAAAAATTTGATGCTGTTTTAATCTTTTTGGTTTTCAATTTTTTTAAATTTTATGTACAGGGCGCCTGGGTGGCTCAGTTGGTTAAGCGACTGCCTTCGGCTCAGGTCATGATCCTGGAGTCCCGGGATCGAGTCCCACATCGGGCTCCTTGCTCAGCGGGGAGGCTGCTTCTCTCTCTGACCCTCTTCCCTCTCGTGCTCTCTATCTCTCATTCTCTCTCTCAAATAAATAAAATCTTAAAAAAAAAAAAAATTTAAAAAAAATAAATTTTACGTACAAATCTGTTTATAGTAATGTGAGCCTCAAAACAAATGAGATTCACTAACTTATAATTTATGCCAACAGTGGGGGTATGGTGTTTTTCTTTAACAAGATCCCCTACATTACTCACACTTCTCAAAGAATAACAACTTACATGACGAATAAATAATACTTCTAACTGTGACCCACTGAAATTCAACTTGTCAAATTATCTAAAAAAATCTTATTTTCCCTTTTCAACCTTGAACATATGTTGGAACACCTTTTTCTTCTCGTTGTAAGTTTAACAACTATTTTCATAAAAAATATTAAAGGAAAGTGGAGCCATTTCCACATATAAACTATCAAAAGAATGCTTTTACAAAGACATTCAAGAAGGATTATTCCTTTCTCTTAATTCTGTATACAAAAGTTCATTAAAAAAAACAACTTATTACTGGTTTTCATCATAATCTAACTCAATATAACATGTCACTCAATCTGTATGCTTTTGGCTACTATCATTGGAATTCTCTAGAAAATAACCCATCTTTAAGAAATAGTCACTAATGTGCTTTTAGAAAGCTAAACAAATGAAAATGCTTCATTATCAAATATGAGCAAAAATCAGGAAAGATCAAGTTATCACGGAATAGACACAAAAATAAATGCTGAACTGAAACAAGACTATGCTTAAGTTAATTACTAGTGAATGAAATTTTTCATTATTTAGTATCTTAAGTACTAAATGTTAGCTTCTGCCAGTAATATATTGCTGACATAATCATCAACACAAAAACAGCCATAGGACTTCTGAAAACACACAAATCAACAGTCACTAATTATGTCTCAAATAGCATACAAACACATACACATCATTTTTTCTCTTTCTCACCTCCCAAATAAATCAGTCACACAACTTAATATTTTTAAATTGTCACAGGCACACTCAAGTACCTTTTTCTTTTAGTTTTAAATTATTAAGGACGTAGAGATAAATTTAGTAAGCATTAATCTTAGGCACTCAACAACAGTGATCCTAATTAAGATCAAAATAATAAAGAAGTCACAGATAAAAGCTACATGAAGGTGTTTCCAAAAAAGCTAATTAAGTTCTAAGTAAAATTAAACTTATGTAACTGTATTTTAAGCAGGTTAACTACTTTCCCTCAGGTATTTTTTTTTTTTTTTGGCTAGGATATTATTGCTTAGACTCTTGCAATTTCTGATCTACAAAAGGACAGTTTCAGGGACAAACTGGTTTGTTTTTTTTAATATTTATTACATTTCTGTTATTAAATTTTTACTTACCTGGAAGGAAGTAGCACTAGAAAAGTTCTACTGAAGTCTTTCCTAAAATTCTCTCATGTCTTCCTCAGGAACATTGCTATTTTAAATGTTGCAATGGGGAAAACAGTATTTGGGAACCCAAGGGGGAAGTGAGAAAGGAATAGTGAAGTGTAATACAATGAAAACTTCATTGTATTCCTATGGGAAGTACTGGGAATTTAACAGTTAATCAAGCCACAATTAACCATTTTCTTTTTTCTAATGCAGACACACTTCTTAGTTTACCTAAGGCACAGTAAAGAGTACATCTTCCTTTTAAACATCTTTTCAACTAGTGCTCAAAATCCTTAGACCAACCCTGAAACAGCAGAACCAAAATCTTTATATTAATACATTTTATTCTCAATATTTTCAAAGATGTATTTGCCTTTAAATCATTTCTAAAATTATTAAATTAAGCAAGGATCAGTACCAATAGTATCTATAGGTAGTTTTATATGACAAATGCTGACATTGATTTTTAATTTACTTTCATTCTAATCAAATCCAAATTATTCCTAATTTCTTAGAGATTCTATTTAACACCTTCCAGGTGGTTCTATATTCTTAAGCAATCAGCTGTTCCCAGAAAAACTGAATAATAAGGAAACATACCTAAGAGAGGAGCTTGGGAGATTTTTTTGGTTGGGTATGTGTGTGTCTGGGCGTGTAGGCCTGGGGAGAGTGGTAGAAATACTAATTTGCAATACAGAAAAAACAATGCCATTCACATGGTTCTAACAAAAGTGTCTGACCACCCCCACCCCCACCCTCAAAAAGCCCTTAAATAAATCGGGAGATTAAAAGAAAACAAGGTAATTCCCCAGAGTATCACCCCATAAATACAATAAAGAACAGCAGAGGAAGTGGCAAAGTTTAAAATAATGCCTTTGTCATTAGGACTAGTATGCTGTCACAAGCCACAATCCTTTTGTTTTGGTAAGTTGATAATTTTCAATAGGAAAATACAAATGAACATGTGTAGAAGTTCCAAAGTGGATTCATCACCTTTGAATTTGGCATCAAATAATTTTTCAGATATCAAATCTTCATATTAAAATTTTTCCATTATTTTAAACTTCACTTGAATCTTTAAAAAGCTGTCTGATTTGTACTATGAGTGCAGTTTAATCTGCTGTAAGATGCTATCAAATTAAACACAGCAGTTTTAATGAAAAGGGAGTCATTACCCAAAAAATGTCATTAAGTTTTGACAATCAAAAAGGCAAATAATTTCAAACATAGATTAGTTCCACAGGCAAATTTATACAATTATTTAATACTCTCTATGTATAACCATTTTTGTAAGTAAAAAGATTAATTTTATGTCACAGGATGATTAGAAGTACTTATCTTTCCAGTTAAGTAAGTTTTCAACTGTGAAAAACTAAAAATTATTTTAAACTAAGTTTTTTGTTTCCTTAGATTATCAGGCTGCTCTTGAAATGACATTGATTCATTACATTAACTTACAACCCTTAAAAAAAAACTGAATTCATGACTATACTTAATGGTACTAATACGCGCAAATCAAGTCTTTCCAATCAAACTCTTTCTATCCCCAATATCCTGTTTTTAAAAGTGCTACCTTTTTATGTAGCTGAGCACTCAAAAACATATTTAAGAGTAAGTTTAATTCTAGCCTATTTATTTTTAAAAAACACAAAGAAGTGAAACCTACGAATATTTTATACCCCTCAAAGATAGATTAAAAATTACTTACCCCATACACCTGCAGCTAAAGATTTATTCTGATTTGGTTCTCTCTCATATTCAGGATTTAAAGACGGCTGAAAGAAATTGGAATAAAAAGAATAAAACAAATGTTCACACTGCCCACATATTTTAAAAATAAACCTTTTAGGGGCGCCTGGGTGGCTCAGTTGGTTAAACATCTGCCTTGGGCTCTCAGGTCATGATCCGAGGATCCTGGGATCCAGCCCTATGTCAGGCTCCCTGCCCATGCACACGCTCTGTCAAATAAATAAATAAAATCTTAAAAAAAAAAAAAATAAGTAAACCTTTTAAAAGTAATCTCAAAACCATAACGAAGGGGCACCCGGGCAGCGCAGTTGGTTGAGCATCCAACTCAGTTTCGGCTTAGGTCATGATCTCATGGATCCTGGGATAGAGCCCCACGTGGGCCTTGGCACTCAGTGGGCAGTCTGCTTGAGATTCTCTCCCCCTCTACCTACCCCTACCAGCCCCCACCAGGCGCATACTTGGGCACGCTCTCTCACATAAATTTAAAAAAAAAAAAAAAAAAAAAAGCATACTGGGGTGCCTGGGTGGCTCAGTCAGTTAAGTGTCTGCCTTCAGCTCAGGTCATGATCCCAGGGTCCTGGGATCGAGCCCTTGTATCAGGCTCCCGGCACAGCGGGAAGCCTGCTTCTCCCTCTGCTTGTGCTCCCTCTCTCACTCTCTGTCAAATAAAATCTTAAAAAAAAAAAAAAAAAAAGACTAATTATTCATAAACCTTACTTTCAGCTTATTCTGCTAACCATCCAAATGGTTACTATCTATTCTTACTTCCAGAGGGAAAACAAAGAAATAATCTTTAAATATTATTATCCTCAGGGTGCCTGGGTGGCTCAGTTGGTTAAGCGCCTGCCTTCAGCTTGGGTCATGATCCCAGGGTCCTGAGATAGAGCCCCACATCGGGCTCCCTATTCTGCGCTCCCAACCTTAGTTAGGCCTTCACACTAATTCTTCCCCTCTTCCTTCCTGTTTTAACAAAGATTACTCCTTACCAAGTAGGTCCCAGGTTAAATGTCACTTCCCTAGAGAAACCTCTCCTGACCTCCCAAAGTAGCCACCCAGTCACTTGTCTAAATTCTCTGCAAACTACTAATTACTTTTTCGTGTCATGAATGCATCTAATAGAATAGAAATTCAGTGAGAGTAAGCACCTTGCTATCTTGTTCCACGTATCAACAGCTAGACTCATATAGCCACTCAAGAAGATATGGAATGAAAAATGAGCGTATACAGAAAAAAAAATTACCAGGGATGAATCACAAAAAATACTAAATAAGATGGTACACTAGATCAATTTTTTATGCAACTGGAGAAGCACAGTGTTTAGATAGCCACACAGTGAGATTTAAGAATAAGGAAAAATTAAGAAAATTCTGTTTCTGATTAGTTCATACTTGTTTTTGTTTTCCTTTTTAAAGATTTTATTTATTTGACAGAGAGAGAGACAGCGAGAGAGGGAACACAAGCAGGGGCAGTGGGAGAGGGAGAAGCAGCCTTCCCGCTGAGCAGGGAACCCGATGTGGGGCTCGATCCCAGGACCCTGGGACCATGATCTGAGCTGAAGGCAGACGCTCAACCGACTGAGCCGCCCAGGTGCCCCAAGAGTGGAGGTTAACATTTCTAATTATATCTAACCCAGGCTAACAATTAGTTTGCTTTCCCTGACCACTAAGAAACTTCTGAATAAAGTACTTGAAAGAGAAGGAGAATTATCCTGGAATTAGCTTAAGAGTAATATATGAATAATCAAATGTTATTTAAAAGAAACAGTCTAAACAAGACATACTGGTAAAATATTCTTTCCAAAAGCTTAAAAGCTTTTTAGAGATGAAAGTTTTTAAAAGATTATATCATGGGCGCCTGGGTGGCTCAGTCGGTTAAGCGTCTGCCTTCGGCTCAAGTCACGTTGCCAGGGTCCTGGGATCAAGCCCCACTTCAGGCTCCCAGCTCAGCGGGAGCCTGCTTCTCCCTCTCCTCCCTGCTTGTGATCTCTCTTGCTATCTCGGTCACTATCTCTCTCAAATAAATAAAAGATCATATCATAAGACACAGGAGTAAGTAGGAGGAGGGAGGGGAATTGGGAAGGGAGAATTATATAAACAAAGAGCCTCACAAAAGGAAGGATTAAAAATAATTGAACCTGGTGGAGGGGTAGGCTAGGGGGCTCAGTCAGTTGAGTATCTGACTCTTGATTTCAGCTCAGGTAATTTATCCCAGGGTCATGAGATTGAGCCCCGCGTCGGGCTCCACAGTCGGCAGGAAATCCTCTTGAGATTCTCTCCCCCTCTCCCTCCCCCTGCTCCCACTCACACACGTGCACGCGCCCACTCTCTAAAATAAATAAATTATAAAAAATAAAAATTAAAAAATAAAAAAATAACTGAACCTGTCTGGTGTGATTTCTATAGAAAATGAACCGTACTGATTAAAATCTCATGAGAAAGCCTTGACATTAAAATGACACTTGCGGAAACCTCGTTTGTATTTAAACTACAAGAAACTTACAAAATCCTCAGCCTCAAACTGTTTGCGTTCTCTCTTGTCTTCTTTCCTCCCCGTTTCATTGTCAGGTATGCTGTTTTCATGTAGTCCTTGGCTTTTTCCAGAATGGAAAATACTGCTACGAGAACGGGAACTTCCACCATGGTATCCCCCTCGATGATTTATGTTTTCAGTACCATTTCTTCCATGCATCCGCCATCCATTTTTTTCTTTCCTTCCAAAATTACCTTTATTTGATAATGGTAAAGTATTATAAACTCAAAGATGGTTATGCCTAAATATTAATCACTGTCTACATTCTTAAAAGCATGAAAAAAAATTATCCTTAAGCTTTTATTTCTTAGCAAATTTTACCTCCATTAGGACGTCCAATACCAGAATCAAAGCCATCTGAGGAGTTGTGTCGTCGACGATTCACATCAAAACGATTTTCTGTCCATGAAAAGTTTTCAGAATGCTTCTCAAAATTTATTGACGACTGAAACAAAATAAGCCCATAGGTAAACATACATATAAAACCTGGCTTAATTTATTTCCAAGGTTCTAAATGGTTAAGAACATTCTGTAGTTACTTTCAGTGTATTTGGTAACTGGTAACTTATTACAGATTCTGCTGTTGGTCTATTTTGTCTAATAGAAATCATTCTGAAAGAGGTTAACGACATCTGCTTACCCAAAAACTTTAAAAGTAAAATGCCACCATAAGAAAAACAAGGCAAAACATAGTGTACTTCTCTTACATAACAAAATATAAAACTCCGTATCATGCATTACTTGATTTAAAATAGCTCAAGGTTTTCTTTAGTATCAGAAAAGTTATGGCAAATGAAGTTAAAATTCTAAGTTCTTCAGATTTATTTCCAAACTCTTCCCCAAAACAAATGTTTTTTAAAAATTCTCAAAATAATATATAGAGGCACCTAGCTGGCTCAGTCAGTGGAGCATGCGACTCTTGATCTCAGTGTTTTGAGTTCAAGCCCCACGTTGGGTGGAGGGATTACTTATGAATAAAATCTTAAAAAAAAAAAAAAAGTACAAGAATTATTTTTAGGGGCCCCTGGGTGGCTTGGTTGGTTAAGTGTCTGCCTCCGGCTCAGGTCATGATCTCAGGGTCCTAGGATCAAGCTCCCTGCTCAGCAGGGTGTCTGCTTCTCCCTCTGCCTCTCCCCAGGGCCCCTGCTCGTGCTCATTCTCTCTCTCAGTAAATAAAATCTTTATTTTTTAAGATTTTATGTATTTATTTGTGAGAGAGAGAGTGTGTGTGTGTGTGTGTTTGTGTGTGTGGACACCAGCTGGGGGAAGAGCAGGCAGAGGGAAAGGGAGAAGCGGGCTCCCTGACCACGCGGGGCTTGATCCCAGAACCCCGGGATCATGGCCTGAGCCAAAGGCAGACGCTTAACCAACTGAGCCACCCAAGTGCCCCTAAATAAAATCTTTAAAAAAAAAAAAACCCAAAAACTATTTTTAAAAATTAGGAATCTATAGGGACGCCTGGGTGGCTCAGTCGGTTAAGCGTCTGCCTTCGGCTCAGGTCATTATCCCGGGGTCCTGGGATCGAGTCCCATGTTGGGGTCCCTGCTTGGCGGGAAGCCTGCTTCTCCCCCTGCCTGCCGCTCCCCCTGCTTGTGTTCTCTCTGACAAATAAATAAAATCTTTTAAAAACAATAAAAATAAAAATTAGGAATCTATAAAAATCATGAATGTCACAACTGTTTATAAACGTCGCTGTTCTTTCCCAGTATTAACCCATTAATCTGTTAAGATCATAATCAAAACTTCAAACGTTTTCTTAAAATGCCCTGACCATTTCTCTGGGCTGGACTTATCTTACAACCACCTCCAGGACAATGAGCAGAGTCTCTCAGTTGCAATGTAAACCCACTGCACATACCCATGTCATCCACTAGGCCCCTCCACATTGTCACTGTGGGACTTACTGGTGCTGCTCCCCGGAGCAGCCTCATCCTCATTTTGCTTATTGTGCCATGAAAGATAAAGTCCCCTTGATTTTCTCGTATCTTCAGTCAGCATCCATGCAACAGTAGTAACAGGTCACCATGGTAGGCCTCCAAGCAGGGTAAAAACGCAAACCATTCACAGACCGCTAACAGTTTGGGTGGTGAGGATGTACACTAACAGAGCTTACATTTTCTAGAAAAAATAAATACAAGGGTCTCTAGGCCACATTAAGGCGTAAGCAAAGACTCTCAAGATTCTGGCAGCAACTGCTGTCATCCAAGTGACAGGTGGAAGTAAGGGTCCCTCAATGTTTAGTGGTCAACTGGCAAAGAGTAGAATTGAAACCAGGTGTCCAAACAGTGCTTTAGGTTTGGTAACTCTCCCAAGTAGAACGATGGGATTTTTTATGCACAATGGGGTCCCACCTGAAAGGCAAACACTGCTGTGGCTGCTGAACCAAGACAACTCCAAAGATGAAATAGAGGTCAGCAATGAGGATACAGAGTTTTGGGAAGATTACAAAGTCATTAGAAGAAAATCTGTTAAGGCTACGGTCTACTTGGAAACAAAATAAATGCAGAACCTCACTTCCTGGAGTGGAAGTGTTCTGTGCCCTCTGTACTCCCTGATCCCTCCCTTCCCTACTACATCAACCTCAGCAGCCTTTATGAGAATGTCAAGTATACTGGTATTTAAGGAAAGGGACAAACTTTTATAGCTCTGCTAGATACACATGCTCAAGTCACCATCTACCCACTCCCAAGAGGAGTGAGACAGTACTAAGCATAGGGATGGCTGAAAATACTGAGGAATGTGGGAAAGGACATGTCAGTGTGGTGCATGGGGGCAGGAAAGGCCCCATCCTGTGAGTCTGCTGAAGCCAGAAGGTACACAGGAGAAGAAGCAACTTCAACCCTGGGCTGAGGAAATCAGAAGAGAAACAGTAAGCCTACAAGCCATGCATGCAATCCCCAAAAGGGCTATCTTCTCCTCCACTGTGTACTTTCCCACATTCACAGATGAAGAAATCATGTAATCTCCCAAAAGCCTGGATTGTAACCCTGAAGTGCATGTACAAAACTTCCTAGTCTGTGCCACTGTAGTGAGAAAAGGTGCCCCGAAGACCCAATTTGACTACTTTGAAGTCTGAGGAAAATTCAGCAGTAGGAAAGAAAAATTAAAGTGATCTTGCAGGAGAGGCTTTTAGAGCAATTCAATGTACTATTGTTTGTTGTGTTTGAACTTGGTACTAATTGTTACTGAAAATGCTCAAGATTCTTCCATTCAGGGAATACCACAGGATGACAGATGATTCCTGTCCCCTTCCAGGTAGTCTAGCAAAAAACACTATATGCTCCCAGAAGGAAAGAAAGAAAAAAAAGAGAGATATAGTTGGAAAATCTGATGGGCAGTGGAATACTCAGAGGCTATTTCCCAGTACAGCAGTGCCATGTGCCTGCCATGTACACCCCCTTTTTAAAGGGTATATGGCTCTTGCCCTACTGCTGAGCTCTTAAATGAAAGGGAACCAGAAAAGGTGGCCCATTAAGGCTCCTGATCAAATGCAAAGTATTTGAGCATGCAGCTGACCTGGCCACTGGGACATTTGTTTTGCACGAAGAAGTGGCAACTACCCTCTGGGGTAAACCTTATTCCCCTCCCTGAGACCATAACAAGCTTCTGGTTCAATAAGGCTCTCAAATCATAGTCCCCTAAATGCCTAGGTCTGGTTCACTGCTGATTCAACTCCATTAAAAGAGGACAGTGTCCACTGGGTGGCAGCAGCCATTCGCCCCAACAACTCTGGAAGACGAAGTGGCTAAGTATCATTCGGCACAGTGGGCTAAAATGAAAACTACAACATTGGACTTCAGTCTTAAGCACTAGACATTTTATGTTTTTCTGCCTCTTGGACTGTTGCCAGTGCCCTAGTCATTTGGTAGATCACCTGAAAAACTAGAGACTAGCATATTAAAGGTAATTCTTTGGGGTTATAAACTGTGAAGCTGCTACTGCTGCTGAGACAATCTGAATCACTCAGATGCTTACCAGAAGATATGCTGGCATAAAGAACAACTAAAATCAGAATACTGCTTAAGTCTGTAGCATGCTATCTAGGTCCATCATCACACCAGACATGTAACTGTCCACTACCGTAGACTGGTCACAAAATAGACCACTTTTTCTTTCTGATGCAGAAGCCCCCTCTGCATGCTAACCTGTGAGCCTGCCAAAAGTTGGTCCATTTGTCCCACTGTGAAGGAGGCCACATTACACATTACACATCAAACCTGTGATCATTTCTTGGAGCTATCAAGAGTGTTTCATCACTGCTGAAATTTTTTCAGGTTACAGTGTTACTGTTGCGATCTGACTGGCTAACTCTGGTCACACGATTGTGACCCTTGAAATTAATCCATGTCATTTTTTTGGACCATCAATATTCCAGTATTAGTGCATTTTTTGTCATGAAGGTCAACCTGCAATGGGTCAATATTCAAGTAGTATACTCAAGACATTATACACACTCTACTATCCACAGGCATCCAGTCTATCAAACAACAGAAATGGTTTCCTCAAAATTCAACTCAGAACAATCTGCAACTCTACATTCCTCAACTCTTCACACACTTTAACGAGACACTTTGGTCAATGAATGCAGCATGCCCAAAAAGAGATCATCTCTTCCTAGCCAATTCCTAGGTAGTAATTAAGATTAAAAAAAAAAAAAGTTATGAAATTATACAGACCTATTTCTTTTTTTTTAAAGATTTTTAATTTATTTGACAGAGAGAGACACAGTGAGAGAGGGAGCAGAAGCAGGGGGAGTGGGAGAGGGAGAAGCAGGCTCCCCGCTGAGCAGGTAGCCGGATGCCGGGCTCGATCCCAGGACTCTGGGATCATGACCAGAGCCAAAGGCAGTCACTCAACGACTCAGCCACCCAGGCGCCCCAATATACAGACCTGTTTTTAAAATACCAGGATTTTGGGCGCCTGGGTGGCTCAGTCGTTAAGCGTCTGCCTTCGGCTCAGGTCATGATCCCAGGGTCCTGGGATCGAGCCCCACATCGGGTTCCCTGCCTGGCGGAAGCCTGCTTCCCCTCTCCCACTCCCCCTGCTTGTGTTCCTGCTCTCGCTCTGTCTCTCTCCATCAAATAAATAAATAAAATCTTAAAAAAATAGTAATAAATAAAAATAAAATAAAATAAAATAAAATAAAATACCAGGATTTTGCCCTGATTATCTCTTCACATGATGCTTCTTTCCCCTAAGAGAAACTGCAGGTCAAGCTACCTCTCAAGGTAATGGTCTGGTCAAAAAGAAACCTAATGAATTCAAACAATCTGGTTTGGCCACCTGAATTCTCTTTTTGGTGCGACATGGTCCTATATCTGAAAATAGTGACCATTTCCTTCAGTATACTTCTCACCATGTACTCTGTACAGTGTCCAATGTGGACTAGAGTGAGCATAATGGGTCTCTGCAATTATGTAAAAATGTCCTTAACCCACTTACATC